AATTAATAAAAAGTTAATCTAGTTAAAGCACAGTATAAGGAAACGGGTAGCTTCATTAGGGTAGTATATTAAATTTACAAGAAAGTAAACCCAAAAAAGATCCAGTGGGTTACTCAAAATTTAAGGATTTTTTTTTAATTTTTAAAGTAAAATAGTTCGGTTTATTTTGGATTTAAGTACTTGAAAAACGGTAAACAGAAAACACGTTTCTTATATTTGCACTTACTTAAGACTCACCCTGTATAGTTGCCCACACTACAAACTCTTTTTCATCAGTCCGACTCCGGTTTAGGACGGAACACTCGAACCTTGCAGCCCAAATGACAGATCCCAGCTGAAGCGCTCTACATGCTACCAACAATCCACCGAATTTTGTCGGCTAGCGGAAAATGTTTGGGACAGTGAAGCTACTTGTTTCCTTATAGTATGGTTAAATAATTTTAATCATGTCTTCTTTTTTTGAATCGTACACTTTACCTTTGTATAAAATATCAGTGCCACTTACTTCTGTATAAAATGTATTGTGTGTAAATATTTACTAGAGATAATTTTCCTTTTCAATAAAAATGATACTTTTAAGTATTGTAGCATATATCTTCATTTATTAATTATACGCAACTATTCGTCAGTAATTATTACACTTTTAAGAGATACAAATGAATATTTTAAAGAACAAAAATTAAAAATTATTATGTCTCCATATCTAAAAAAAATATTTGTTATAAGGAAAGCAAGTTTGTTTGAGTCAAACAAATATTATTTAATGTTAGAATTACAGTGTAGTTTTATCTTAGTTGACACTATCATGGTTTTTACTATTAACTCCTTCTTAAACTAATAATAACCAGTTTAGCTATTTGTGGTAATTAATATTTATGGAATTTTTTATTAGAAACATTTTCAAATAAGCCCAAAATAATCGACTTATTTTTCTTTTAAAATTTTCCAAAAAGTGATTTTTTGCTTAAATTTTGAGAACCACTGCATCTTTTCAGGATTTTGTTTCTTGTAAATTGAATCTACTGGCTATGTTGCCATATTATTAAGAAATTATGTTTTTTTTTAAATCCAAAAAATATTTCAAAAAAATCCAAATTTTCAATTTTTTTTTCGGGAAAAAAACTCATAATAGTGTTTCTGGGATTGATATACATTATTCCTGAAAATATTTGCACTTATTTAAGACACACCCTGTATATTATAAAAAACATTTTGAAAACGATACCAATAAACATATTACAAACAAATGTATTCAAGTATATTATTATTTCTAAAAAAAATGTTCTAACCATTAATATATAAGATTCATCTAATATTATATGTGATTAAAATACATAGATAAGAGGCCATGATCAGTTCACATATCTTAAAACTATAACTGTTCTAATATATATGGAGGCAAAATAGTTTTCCATGTTTTTGTTTGTAGCATCAAGACAATCAAGTGCGTAACTTATGCTTTTAGAACAAAAGGCATAAATTAGCATCTCATAGAGATCCCAACCCTAAAATTTGACCCGAGTGTAGTTTTCAAAAAAAAATAATGTGTTGCACTGTAATAGTATAAGACGCTTCAGTACGACCCCCAAAAGACGTTTTTTCAGCTTTGAAAAATTTTTCTATGGTCATATGGTTATATGCACGTATTTTGTGAAACGATTCGATTTTTAAAGCAAAATATATAGATATGCAAAATAGGTCTGTCCACCCATAATGTCCATGGAAATGTAAATTGAAGAAATGCTATAATAAATTAAAATTTATATAGGCGAAAGTATTGTTGAAGCATTTGTGCTGGGAAGCAATGTTAACAATAGGATGTGACATCATTGTGGAGAGTTTTAAGTACTCCATAGCGTCATGCGCACCCAACCTTAGTACTACTTTACTACTTTTTTTTAAGTTTCTTGTATTTCCGATTGCCGATTTCCGTATCACCTATATTATTAATTTATTGTAGGTACAAATGAGACTAAAACCACATCAAATAAAACGGTTCGTTTTCAGAATAACTACAAAGACTTTTTTTATTTTATATTTATTATTTTGAAAATTACTTCTAACATGTATTATGATGGAGAGACCTATTTATTCTTTGCTGAAAATTATAAATTATGAATAATTATTATGATTAATACTTGTTTTACAACAATACAGTGAAAATAACCAGTGCCAATTAAAGCAAATATTAATAGAAACATTCTAATTTAGTGTTTAACTATATGTATAAGCCTAATGTAAAATATGGAATATGTTATTAATCCTTATTATTAATTTCAATTGATTAAAATAAGCAAACAACTTGTCAATAAAATAATTTTGTAAAAACACTTGTACGGAAAAAATAAAATACCATAGGTTTGAGAAACAAAAACTTTGTCATAGAAAAGTCTCAGATTAATAATTTTAACATTATTACAGTTGAGGGTTGGAACCTTTGGTGTTACACAGCAAAATAAAAACACTAAATCACCACAATACACCAAAACACTTTTACTTTTACACTGGACGCGCGTTTCGCTAACCATGTTAGCATCATCAGCAGATGATTATAAACTAGTTTTAGTCATCTGCTGATGGAGTTTATAATATGGTTAGCGAAACGCGCGTCCAGTGTAAAAGTAAAAGTGTTTTGGTGTATTGTGGTGATTTAGTGTTTTTATTTTGCAATTTTAACATTTCTGAGTCAATATGAAATAATAAGATGTTTATATAATTCTGAGTAACTCAGAATCTTTAAAGTACCTCAATTGATTTCATTTCCGATTAATCCCAAAAGTTGATATGATATTCATAACAGTATCTAACTTTGGATAAATAATGATATAATGTGACCCACATAAATAATTATCCGCAGACCAAATACGCGGGCCTGCGGATTTGGCCAGCGGATTTGATCTGCGGATAAAAATATTGTTTCTATGGCGGACTTTAGGTAGACTTGGACTGTAAGATTAGGTTGGTCTAAAAAACGAAGGATAGTCGGCGAATAACGCTCTTTCTTTCTATATAAGCGGCAGATTTTATTCCTATAAACATTAATCTATATAAAATCTTTTGTAAAATGTCGAATTTTGTCCCAACGAGAATATTTAATCGGGCAAAGATCTAACAGGCAGGCCAAGTCCGCAGACCAAATATGAGAGTTTTGGACGTTTTGGTATGTGACAAGCCAGCTCCGCGGACTAGATCTGCAGGTCAAGGCCGCAGGACAAAATCCGCAGACCAAATCTTGTAGTGTATGGGGGCATCATATCCGGCTACAGAATTATTACGCTCATCATATTTTTAATCAAAACCTTATTCTTCGTATATTTATGAACACTATTATTTGATGATGCACTTTTAACAGAGAGCCAATCAAAAAGTTGCCGCAAATATATGTTTAATTAATAATAATGCGCCACGCCACCCCACATCATGAAGTATCATATCTGTACGTATGTTTGTCCATTTAATTACATGCATTGCGTACACACTAGGCAATTAACACGCAACCCCACGTCACGCGACCCCACGCGACGTATCTCATGTGTACACTCTTTCCCCTGTCGCAACACGTGGGCTCACGTGAGCCCACGTGGGATAGCGAGGCGTCGCGTGGCGTGTGGCTTAATGGGGTCCCGGCTTAATATGTCCTTGCAAGAAAAAAACAAAATTTGTCATTAATAATTATTACTATCACTATACATCATTGGTAAACTGAATTCAAGGAGTCTATTGGCAGGTAATTTTTCCTCAAACCTGCGGTATAATACTTGACATGCATACTCTACGGTTGTAAGCTTAATTCAGTATTACAATCGAAAACATTAAAATCGATATTATAAAGAAACCCTTTGTATTTTTATCCTATTGAATATTATGTAATTACATAACCTAACTTTTTCATGTGAACATTTTTATAAATGTAGACGGCGTTTAATTGTAATACATATCATTATGTTAATTTTGGATACCCATAATAATGGCATACTTACGGCATTTCTATGTGTTTCCTGTATATAAAACAAGATATGTTTATTTATTATTACAATTAGATATTAATAAAACACACCACAAAATTATTGACTTTTATTTTTTACTCTTACTCCTAGTCATTTTTTATAAAACCCTTTTATCACACACATTCTGTGCTTTCATAAATATATATCTGCGCAATAGTCTTTGGTCGGTGTTTACCTTGTGTTTACCATGTGTTTACATCTCTAGAAGTAAATCGCTATGGCTACAGAACAGATTAAAAGCTATGGCGATTTGGTAGAATGCACAGAACAGGTTATAGAATGTAGAATCAAAGTAGAATGTAGGATGGGGGGAGGGGTTAATCACCGCGACCTTAAAGCCCCGTTCTCAGAATGACAACAACCAATGGGAGCTGTACTAAATTTAAAATTGACAGCTGTTTGAATTTTGTACAAATCTCATTGGTCCTCTTGACGTGTCGCTGGCGACAGTCGCTGTTCTGAGAACGGGGCTTAAGCGCTACGACGAAATAAACCGTCCAGTTGGCTTGTGAATGACGATCGACGACATTCCTCATATAATTTTACATATAAAATGACAGCGATCTTCATTTCATAGCTAGCGATCTTCATTTCATAGCTATCGCTGACGCCGTCTTTTTTCGATGTCGTTTTGTATAGTTTTTATGTCATTTTATATGTAGAATTATATGGGGAATATCATCGATCGTAATTTACAAGCCAACTGGACGTCTTTTTTCGATTATACGGTATAATAATGAATCTAGTCAATTCCCTTCACACTTGCTTACGGATTCAATGAATAATGTAATTTTTAATATTCATTTGTGAAATTGTCATTTCCAAACAAACAAGAAGCCGTTTTTTTCGATCATACAGCATATATGTATATACACGTTTAAAACATATGTTATTACATTATTTTTTATTTAATTATTCATTATACACACGTTAATAAATAAATAATTGTCTTGATAATCAACCCAGTAAACCAAGACTAGGCGGCAAAGTTCCGGCCGACATCTGGCACTCTCGGTTAAGCAGCGGCTTCTCAAAATCGTGGTTTTAACGACTACGGGCCGCATACATTGTTTAGCTAACTATTTGCCACTTTCTATGCAACCGCTATGCGCATTCGGAATTAGAAAGTAGCGCCAGTAATTAAGAGATAACCGTACCGTCGGTGGCTAGCTAGCGGCAGATCGCATGTAATCACAGTATCGTCGAAAGAAACGTTGCATTTTTATGTTTGAATTTCCCTCGATATAAACTCAGCTCTCATTGGCTGAGAGCTGTCCAGCCGTCGTCACCGCACGACAGCTCGACTTGTTGCTTGTTTGTTGTGTTGGTTTGGTCGCCATTTTTCTAATGTGTTATTTTTCGGTTTTTAATATTTTTTCACCTCGTTAGGACACTACCGACTGGTTTTTCTTGTGGTATAAGGTTTGTTCGAACTTTTCGTGGATTGTTTGTGTGTGTTTGACATATTATGGCATTGGCAGTGGCAGAACAAGACAAGTAAGTACCTATCTGTAATCTGTACTATTCCTATCAATCATCGATACCTATATGGGTTTTTATAAAAACAAATTACAAGCAAAAAAAGTGGGTATCATAATTTTTTATCACTTTTTCCTAGCATCTTTTATTCTTTTTCGACTTTGTGAGGTTAATAGTTAAATATATTGTTTTGCTTTAAAAAATCAGTGTTTTTATGGAAGCCCATAATATATATATATATATATCTCTGGCAGTCTCTGCACTATCTATGTTGTAGATGAAATGGTAGAAATAATAGAGCTGTTAATAATATGCTATAATCTTTCAAAGAAGGGAGTACTTATACAATACTAATATCACTTTTTGAAAGAAGTTAAAAATGGAGGGCAGAGTTGTTAAAAAACTTAGTAAACGACAACAAAGACGCCAGATTGCTGCTCAAGTGAAATGCCTCATTGATGATTGTTCACCTGTTAAAGGGTTTTCTCAACCTCAGGAGATTCCTGACTCCTCACCTACCCCTGTAAAACAGTTTCTCGAATCTCAATATTATGTTCCTGACCCCCCAGTTCCTTCCGAGTATCAAAATATATCGTGTTCCACTAGTGTAGCTTCGAGTTCAAATGTGACCTCTACAGGAGAACTACAAATGATTTCTGACGAGTCAGACTCTGAATACATTTTTTCAGATTCTGACTCTAATGCCTCCTCGGATGACTTGGACAGTGATCCATTGACTTCTGCCTCAACCTCATCTTTGACACCTAACTTGGCAAACCCAAGTGCTACATTTTTAAGAGGGTGGGCCATTAAAAATAATTTAACACACACTTCAATAACAGAGCTTCTAACATGGTTTTCCTCAAATCCAAATATTTGTAACCTGCCAAAAAATGCTCGAACTCTGTTAAAAACTCCAAGGCAAATTGATGTAAGGGTAATAGGAAATGGGAAATTTTACTATATAGGTTTACAAAAAGAAATCAAAAGAATTTTTAGTAAATATGAGAGTGATAGTAGCATCAATGAATTTTTGTATTATTTACATTTCAACATTGATGGTTTGCCTTTGCATAAGAGCACAAAAAATTGTTTTTGGCCTATTTTATGTAGAATTTCAAATTATCCCAGAGAACACCCTTTTGCAGTTGCTATATATTATGGAACAGGAAAGCCACCTCTTAATGACTTTTTTAGTGAATTTGTTAATGAAGTGTTGGAGTTATATCAGAATCATTTACAGGTTAATGGAAAAACTATTAAAGTAAAATGTATGTCATTTTGCTGTGACACTCCAGCTCGCTCATACGTTAAAGCGACAATGGCACACAACTCATATCAGGGCTGTGACAAGTGTACTGTCAAAGGACTTTATGTTAATAAGAGAATGGTTTTTTTAAATTCCAATGCTCCTCCAAGAACTGATGAGGAATTTGTTCACCAAGCCTATGGTAACTACCATAAAGGAGTCAGAGTTTATGTAATCTTGGTATTGGTATGGTATCTAGCTTTCCTATAGATTATATGCACTCTGTTTGCCTTGGTGTGATGAGGAAATTACTGTTTTTGTGGAGAGATGGGAGTAGATTGTATAGAGTCACTGGGAATAAGTTCGAAATGTTAGAAAATTTAATAAAAAATATAAGTAACTTTTGGCCTGCAGAATTCAATAGAAAACCGAGAAGTCTAAGAGATCTTGAACATTGGAAAGCCATTGAGTTTCGACAATTTCTTTTATATATCACCCCTCTTTTAGGTGATATTTTACCAAAGCAAGTCTTTGCCAATATTATGTTGTTAAAGTTTTCTATTACTATTCTGCTTGGACACGATTTAAATACAAATCTTAACCAGTATGCTAATGATTTACTGAGATTATTTGTATCACATAGCATTCAAATATATGGGCAAGAATTTTGTGTTTACAATGTACATGTTTTAGTCCACCTTGCAAAAGAAGCCAAGTGTTTTGATACCCTTAATAATATAAATTGTTTTGCTTTTGAGAACTACCTTGGTATGCTAAAAAAAATGATAAGAAAATCTCACCAGTGTTTGCCTCAAGTTATTAATCGAATCTTTGAAGGTAGAATTGAAAAGGAAAAATTTAATGAAAATAACATATTCATTTCTGGTAATCCTGTGAAAACTGACTTTAATAAGACTTTCTATCCTATACTTATTTATAATAACTGGAAATTATCATGTAAGGCTGGTAATAATTGTGCATTTTTAAAGGACCAAACAATCATTTGTATTGAATATATTTTTGTTAAATTAGGAAAAATTTATATTACTGGGCAACAAATGTCTATTTTAAAACCTTTCTTGACTTATCCTTGTGATAGTTCATTCATGTCTTGTTACGAGGTTTCACTTAGTGAAACTTCTGTTGAAACTGATAGTGAAAGCATACTTTGTAAAGCCTTACTACTACCTACTAAAAATAACAGATATTTGTGTTGTCCTTTTATTCATTTTTACTAATATATCTATCAATTTTTTTACTTTAAGTACTGCTTAACATTCAATGATATTATCTTGTTAAACTCTGTTCTTTAAGAAACAGTGACAGTTCAAAATGTTAAATTGAATACCTTCAACCTACAGTTTTGGAACTATCATTGTTTATTTAAATAAATAATACACTTTATGATTATATACCATGCATGTTTTGTTTTGTTACTGTTAAGTATCGCAATTAATATTCCCATTAATATTTCCTAAAATGTCAAATATAGTGGATAAGTGAGGGGAGTATACTTATATTATGCTAGGTTTTTAACAAATTTCTACAAAGTAATATTTTTGCCAACAAAGTAAACTTTTTTTTGAAAATGTACTTAATTTAAATTTTACTAAAAGTAGGTTTGTATTACTTAACAGGGAATATGTAATTGTGGATTTCCCCGAAGAGTCCAGTGAGGGAATAATATCGATGGCTCTCATTTCAAGCACATGGATATTTGAAAAGCAAGGAGCCCTTTATTGCTATTGGCCTTCCTACTTAAAATCCACACTAAGTAGAGAAAAAACGGTCAAAAACCATCTTCCACTTGTCAAGGAAAAATGTGTGGAGTGTCAGGTTATTGTAAAATATCATGATGGTAAGCTGTAATTAGAAATTTACCACTTTTACTCCCTTTCTTTTTTGTTACCTACTAGCTAGTGATGGGAATAATCGAATTATTTTTCACCATCGAATAATTAGTAATAATTCATATTTCACCATCGAATTAATAATTCGAATTATTTAGTAGAATTATAAATTTAACCTAAAAATAAATTCGTTCCAGCTAGTGCTCGTCTAGGGGCTATTTTAAACAAATCTGAACAATTAGCAGTACCTAATAGTTCTAATTTAAACAAGTTCAAATAATATCCCTTTTTTGCCAAAGTCTTTCATCGTCAAGTTTCAAAAAAATATCATCAATAATTCCCAAAATATTTTTAAAAACCTAGTTTCCGTTATCACCCATTAGATCCTTGTTATTTTTTAGTTAATTATGACAAGACTGTTTGGAAACTAAGGAAGATGGAAGTGGAAGAGTCGCAGTCGGAGCTGGAATCTGAGTTGGATAATGCTCCCAGCAGTGGTAAAAAGTCTCGGCAGGTGTTAAAGAAAAATGATTATGTTTATTACGATAGTGATGAAAATGATGAGGATGAGTTACCCCCGCCACCGAAATTTCCTCCTAAGAAAAAAATTGCAAACTTGGAACCTGTTCGAGAACTTTACTTAAGTCCTGAACCAGATCAAAACGAAGGGTCCAAAAAAAATGTAACAACCTTCCAACAGTTATTGCAACCTGTTCCAGAAGTCCAGTGTAATTTAGGCCCATCTGAAGCTAGTTCATATACACAGGCTAGTTCTAGAAAGGAAGGGTCATTCACACGTTGTTGCTGTGAAAAAAATAAAAGTAATAATAAGTAGGATTAAACAAGTGTTTCAAAAAAGCTTGTTATTAACATCCCTGACATGTTACATATATATATTTGTTAAAATTCATTCTTGGCATTGGCAAAAAGTATAAAAACACCATATATTAAAAAGTATCAAATTATTTCTTGCAGATGGCCTTAATTTGTTTTTTTTTTAGATATTTTGGAGCGTATCCTCCGAGATATTACCATTATTAAAACGGACCTTAAAAACTTGACCATAAGAAGCAACAATGACAAAGTAACAAATAATATGGAAACTTTGGATACCGAACTGATGAACTTCAAAAGTTACAATGAAATCTATGATTTTGGAACTAAACTGGGAAATGATCAAGAGTTTTATAATAGAATGGTGAGATCAATAATATACATTTTGCATTCTTTAATCCCATTATACAACAAGTTTATTGTACTTTTTAATGCTTTTTTTAATTTTAGTTAACTTTACTAAGTCTTTTGGGTGGTAAAGACTACCAAGAGTGTACCAGGAGAATATTGGGGACCTTGTTAAACCACGAATTAGCTATCAAAGTAAACTGGATAGGGGCCAATGACAAGGGTAGTTTTCAGAAGCTGCCCTACGTTCTTAAATTGATTTATGGTAAGAATAAGGAATTTAGATTATGAATCTTAAACTTAAAGTATAATAATTTCCATTCTTCTTGAACATGCTACATAATGTTTGGCTTAATGCACAATCAATATAAAATTAATTATTTCATTTACAGGTGCAGTTAGAAGAAACTCTATGTGCAGTAATGCAACTAATTCGGAAATTGACCAGGCAATAAAAAATTGGATAAAAAACGCAGCAGACCGAGAAGGCGGCCGAGCTAACCGAAAAAAAAAACAAAATTAGAAATTAAATTCAAATTTCACTCAGAAACCCATGCTAAGTATTAAACCGACTTCCACTTATAATGGTAAGAATTTTCTATAGAGACGGTTTTTTTCCTCATTAATATTTTTTTAAGCATACCAATTCAAATTCAAAAAGGTAAGAAGTTTAAATACTTTTCTGACCGAATCCAGCACCAAAGAAGCCTATTATTATACATATTGGTTTTAAACTTCACTGCGATTTTTTAGCAGAATAATGTGTACCTATATTTATTTTATGTTAGGTTATTTTAAGTTGTTTTGTTAAGTTTTTTTTTGGTATTATATCCCTATCATTCTGCTAGTTCATGTTCTGTATACATGGTGACTGTCATTTTCACAAATTATATACAAAACAATAAAACTATGTATAAAAGTTGTTCTTTCAAACATTTTATTAATTCGTTTTTATTTTCTAGTAATGTTCACAACCTCACTTGAACCTTTCCAGTCAGTTTTTCGGCTAGTTTTACTGGTATTTAGGTGGCCTCTAAGTAAGATTGAAAACACTTTTTTAGTAAGAAATTAGAGCAGTTTCAAAATAATATTTTTGCATTTTAGACACCCTGTACAAAGTGTTTATTATTAATTGAATGCCGATATTTTAGGGTGATACTCAATTGGATCATTCTAGAGAAACAGTTCATATGAACATAGGTCCGCAACCGCCTAATGTTTAAGATATAAAAATAAAAATTACTTTCATATCTTTCGTATATTTTTTTAATGAAATATTTTAACTTTCTTCCGACCGATACAGATAATCGCACCAATAACAAAATATATCCTAATTAATTTAATAGCAATAATAGATTAGATTTTTTTGATAGAGCAATAATATTTAGATTACATTAAATTTTTGGAGTTATATTTAATTAAAAGTAACCAACGAAAATTGAAAGACATTTTTAAAACGCAGCAGTGCCAGTGTATGGGTAAAACCCTTTTTTATGTTTAACACCCTATCCTTAAAAATTAGGCGGACATAATACTATGTCCCTATGAACTTTTTGTCTTAGAATTATCGAAGGATTATTACCCTCAATCATCGGCATTCAGTCCACCCTGTATACTGGTAGGTGTAGATAGGTAACCACCAGTAAAACGAAAACGGGCCAAAGTCGGCTGGTTCACTAAACGATTCAGGCTGGAATACTTTTGTCAGTAAGCTACCCAAGCGCGGTAAAGCCGCGTAGAACCGTAGCCTAGTCTCTTTTTGCCGGCAGTCGGCCGCCTAACGGCCGAGCGGACATCCCCGCCTGCACGCCGAGGCGGCACACGGATTCGGCCCGGACACTACGTTTCGGAAACGCGTCTTCGGCCCGCTTTCGGCTCGAAGGGGTTGTGTTTACTGGGAATCCACTGTGACTGTTAAATAAATTTTGCATTATCGACTTAGATATTCTAATATTATAAAGGTGAGACTATAAAATACAAAATTGTATATGCATTACTCAAAAATGAACGATATATTAGTTTTCGTTTTAATAAATATTTTGTACCGTCTAGGTACAAGCTAATTTCTGATGCTACGCCATTGGAGAATCTCGCTTCTTGACAACTTGCCTCACTTTCAGCTGCCGTGTTACCTGTCCCCTCTCTTTCCTTGTCTAAGCTTGCCCATGGCTTGCCCATTGAGTAGGGTTACCACAATGACTAAAGAATCCAAGGATAAATAACACCCGAGAGTAAATTGTGACGATGACTCCAAACAGTGCCGTAGCACATATTTTTCTTAACCTAGCTGTTTGAAGCAATATTTATATTTTTTGATAATTGTTTTCACTACGCCTATGGTGTATCATCCTAATTAATTACGAAAAAAACATATTAAAATGTTAACAAAAGGTACAAAACTAGTATCGACGTATAGCACATATCAAGTACATATAGATGTTAATTGAAATTGAAGAATAATTATCGAATTCAATAAGAAAACGCTAAAAAGTTGGAGTGGACTGTTTATTTACCTATGGAACGTAGCTCCTGGCTCTTTCTTATCGCTGCTGCTTTTACACTTGAAAGCTAAAAAGTAATCACCATTGTAATAAAGTTTACTACACACAAACTATTAAAAATCGCTAAAATTGTCGCTGGTGACCAAATGATAACTCATTGTTTGCCACCAAAACAAAAAAAAAGGTCACAAATTCTGCTGCAGCCCGTATAGGGGCGTTACATGTCCTTATATTCTTTAGTCATTGGGTTACCAGATGAAAACTTGTCCACTCCGGGCAAGCCTTCCCAAAAATCCGGACAAAATCCGGACGTCATATTTTTTTAGCGAAGTAGCATTTTACATTACCTACTGATTGATGATAGTTATAATTTTTATTTTATTTATAAAACAAGAGCAAAATATAAATTTATAACTTTCAAAACTTAAGTAAAAGAATGAATTTACACTACCTACTGAATTTACCGACGCTTTTTTAAGTAACTAAATGTATTAAAAGTAATATATTATTTTGCATTATTGTGACATGGAACCAAAGAATATCTTAATACATCCGTCCGGACCCCGGACCCAACCGGATGTAGTAAAAATCCCGACATGTCCGGATTAATCCCGACTTCTGGAAACCCTACCCATAAGGTGGAGGCTGGAGGATCTGTCTCTGTGATTTTCTCCACCTCTTTAACTTGTTCTCTCCTTAGACATGATCTATAAGAGAGGATCTATAATATCCCGAATCTATATAATAGAGGATAACATACCTCTCTTTCTCTATTGCCTCCTTGGATTTGAGAACAACTCCTATTGTGAAGATCTCCTATCTCCTATGGCCCTCTTCTCTCAAGTTGATGACTCGCCAACTCGATGTCTTCATTACATTTGAGTTCTGGCAAAGTTGGTGTTATGATGGGTGTTATGTCTTATGTCCCTGCTTACCCTGCTTGCCTCCCGGTGTCAGGCCCACCCAGCCATCACGACTCACGACACTTGCTGTCCTCCATTCGCGAATTTCAAGTTCCAGAGCTTTACGCCCTGGGCTACTCGAGAACGGTTTTGGAACGGAGCTGTGCGCGATAGTCTGGTGCCTCCATATGGCGCGGAACAGTTCTGAACTTTATGACTCAATTAAATGGAGTGAGAGTATCGCGTTCTTGAACAGTTCGGAGCTGCACAACTGCGTGAATGGAGGTTTGGTTTGGTTTGGTTTGGTTTTAATACAGTAACTATGGAGGCTAAAAGGAGGCTATGCTATGCTATAACCAAAATTTTTCATGTTTTTTTATAGTTTAATAAATTAAAATAATTTACAATTATTATTTTACATATTTGATAACAATACTTTATACATTTTTTTTACATGTAAAATATATATAAAAAAGTGTTTATTGCAGAAATTGTATCTCTCTGATTATAATACCCTACGCCACTGCAGAAATCCAGTCTGAGTAGCATTTATAGTTTCAAACATTAATTATAATATAGGATATTGAAAATACTACTTGGAATTAATAAAAATAGTTTACTTTGGATGTGGTACAAGACATATTAAAAGCATTTTACATATTTTTTTTGCTATACTGAAAAAAAATTACATTTTATGACTACGTAACAAAAGTTGTGTATCAACTTTTACCTGTAAAATCTAATTCCAGTCATTTTTTCTCGCTTCAGCCTTTGCAGCCATACGCTGAACATCTCACCACATACCAAACAACACGGTTTATAAATTTAAAACAAAACAGTTTTCACAAAAAACATAAAAATTCGCTCAGTGTCACCCCCAAATCTTGTCACCAAAGTATGGCCGCCGATCGAATTTTGGCCTCACAAACCGATCACGGGCAATCACGGGAGCAAATACGTTTAAATTACCTATACCGCGGCCTCCCCATAAGGGCAATGAGAGAATTTATGTCCCAGTATTGAAGGAGGACAGAAAATCGAGTCGAATGGTTTCAAGACATAGGTTCATCCTTGTTTAGTCAAACCTCCTACCCCAGGGTTCGGAAGTAGTTAACTAAGACATAATTTACCTGATTAACTACGTGTAGTTTTTCTTCAAAAACTACGTCTTTTCCCGTTCATTAACTACATGAAAACTACGTTAATAAACTATGTATTGATATTATGAATAATTTTCCTTTGTATGAGGTGTAATAGAGATAATATGATGTAAATATTATAATTAAAGCCATATTTCTTCTGTTTTCTTAAATACATTAAGTGTTTTTAAAGCTTCAACTTATTATAATCTCACCTCAAACCTGTGACCTGTGACATTTGAAAGTTACATATATAGGTTACATAAACTACACCCTCTACATAAACTACATTAACTACATGTAATGTAGTTTATGTAGTTTTTAAAATAACATGTAGTTTTCCTAACCCTGCCTACCACACAAGGATAGACTTATGTAGGAAACGCATTGAAATTCTATAGCCATCCTTTAACATCGGGACAGGAATTTAAGCGGTACCCTCCGTATAGGTAATTTAAACGTATTTGCACGGGAGAATATGCGTACCCGTTTCCTCTCTTTCCTGGTCTAAGGAGCAGGGTTCGGAAAACTACATATTACTCTTAAAAACTACATAAACTACATTACATGTATTTAATGTAGTTTATGTAGAGAGTGTAGTTTCTGTAACCTATGTATGTAACTTTTAAATATCAAAGGTTTGAGACGAGGTTATAATAAGTTGAAGCTTTAGAAAACACATAATGTATTTTAATGTTTTAAGTTTTTGTATTTTATAATAATTTTAATATATTGTGTTCAGGGTTCGGAAAACTAGATGTTACTTTTAAAAACTACATAAACTACATTACATGTAGTTAATGTAGTTTATGTAGAGGGTGTTGTTTATGCAGAGGGTGTAGTTTATGTAGAGGGTGTAGTTTATGTAGAGGGTGTAGTTTATGTAACCTATGTATGTAACTTTCAAATATTAAAGGTTTGAGGTGAGGTTATAATAAGTTGAACCTATAAAAACACATAATGTATTTAAGAAAACAAAAGAAATATAGCTTTAAATATAATATTTACATCAAATTATCTCTATTACACCTCATACAAAGAAAATTATTCATAATATCAATACATAGTTTGTTCACGTAGTTTTCATGTAGTTAATGAACGGGAAAAGACGTAGTTTTTGAAGAAAAACTACATGTAGTTAATCAGGTAAATTACGTCTTAATTAACTACTTCCGAACCCTGCTTCTGAACCCTGATTGTGTTGTCTGTTTTTTATGAATTTATAATTCTTTAATTAAATAAAAAGCATATGCATTACATATTTCTATCAAAATGAACATTTTTATTTACAGGATGTTTTTTTATCATAATATACGTAGTTCATTAACGTAGTTTTCATGTAGTTAATGAACGGGAAAAGACGTAATTTTTGAAGAAAAACTACAGGTAGTTAAAGTAGTTAACCAGGTAAACACCTCTTAATATGCTCTTAATTAACTATTTCCGAACCCTGCTAAGGAGCATAGTTTGTAAATGATTTGGCATCACTGTCAAATGACAATGATGTCAATTGTCATTTTTCATTCTTATATTTTCTCCAATTTTTCTTTGGATTGTTGAAAATTTCTAAATAAGTTGTGTTAGTTTTTTGTACTATAATAATCTTCATAGATTTTAATATCATTGTACAATGAATACTCAGAGTCGTAAAAGAAAGTATACAGATAAGATGGAACCTGAAAATGGTGATTTAATTCCACCAAAAGGCAAATATCAAGTGATCCAAGATGTTGATGAGGAAAATTTATCCAATATTTTATTTGGCGATTCAAACTTATTCCTTAAAAGTCTAGAGGAAGCTGTAAATGGTCCGCAAAGAGCCCATAATGTGGATTCTGGCATTGAAAGTGGAACTTCTGAAGAAGAAACATCCAGTCGGAAACCAGCATGGACAGATGAAGATGATGCAGGTATTGATGTAGGAGAGGCTCTAAAGGCACAAAAACGGAAGTTACCCTCTGGTGGGATAAATAATCGTAAGAATAAGTATTCAAATCTCTTGAAACAGAAATATGAAGCTATCGTAAGCACACCTAATTGGGCTAACCTAAAAAAAACTAAATCATCGTTAGCTGATTCAGATGAAGAAATACTTGGCTCGTGCGGGTTTATTAAAACAGCAGAGAAGACATCTTTGCCACACAGATTGTTGGAATTTAAGAAACTCAAAGATTTAAACACTGAAACTTATACAGAGGGTCCATATATAAACTCTGTTGAATTCCATCCAAACTCAAGTGTTGCATTAGTAGCTGGCTACAAAGGAGTTGCTACCTTGTTTGCTGTTGATGGAAAAAGAAACAGTAAATTGCACAGTGCTGCATTTGAGAAATTTCCAATTTTTTGCTCAAAGTTCACAAAAAACGGAGATGAAGTAATATTAGGCTCTAGACATGCTCATATATATAGTTATGATCTTTTGACTACAAAAGCATTACGATACAAATTACCAACAGGCATAACACAGTGTAAAAAATTTATTGTTTCACCCGATCAAAAATATTTTGCTGTTCAAGGGAAATGGGGTGAGATTCATTTATTCTCAACTTCAACAAAAGATAAGTTAGCTACACTTCAGCAAGATAGTGATGTCACAGCCTTGGAATATGACTCTGAAGGAAATTTACTATTCGGCCACTCAGATATGGGAAAAGTAACAATATGGGATATGAACACTCGGCGAGTTATTCATAAGTTCATTGATGAAGGATGTTTGCAAGGAACTTCTGTAGCCGTTTCATCATCTAATCAGTTTCTAGCTACGGGAAGTGCTCAGGGTGTTGTAAATTTATATAATATGCAAGATGTTCTTAAAAATAGTCAGCCGAAACCGCAAAAGAGTATTTTGAATCTAACGACATCAATATCTGATATTAAATTTAACAGTAGCAGCGAAATGTTAGCACTATATTCTTCAGAAATCAAAAATTCTATCAAATTGTATCATATTAATTCGAAAAATGTTTTTAGCAACTTTCCTCCCTTTGAAAGTAAACTAGGCCATATAAATTGTATAAATTTCTCTCCAGGTAGTGGATTTTTAGCACTAGGAAATAGAAAATCAGTTGTATCATTGTTCAGGTTGAAACATTATAAGCATTATTAGGTTTTCAACATTATATAATTAATTGCTTTTCTGTGTAGATAGTTTATTTTGATATATCTTTAAACTACTGTTTAATTGAATTAATTGTGAACATTTTATTGGAATAAGTTTTCTCTTTATATTTGTGTTCTATATCTAAAATAGTTTTAATTTATAGTTACATTTCCACAAACATTGTTAAGCGTAAATTTTAAAATAATTATATTTAGAGAATCAATTATTGTAAAATTATCACATAAATAAAAAGTATACGTTTAGGTAAGAGTTTATGATTTATTTATTTTATAATTCATTTCATAATATTGAATTTTGAATTTCCCGCCAATTTTATAATGACGTCATCGAAAAAATAGGACGATGGCAATCTTAATCCTGCTCTCCTGCGGACAGGAGATAAGCTTAATACTTTTAGTCTCTGACATTATTTACTCGTATGCAAAAGTCACTACTACTGAGTTTCTAGTTTGGCGGATTCCAATCATAGACAAATTCCAATTCTGAACTTTCTCTCGTATGCTTTTCTGTTCAACAGCTAACACCCTACGCGCAGTCGTTAGCAGTGTTGCCTAAACTTGTAGAGTCTGTAGAGAATTTCTGAAGGAAAATAATTATTAAAAATCTAATATCTTTTAATTAACGGAATGTTAAAAAATTAACTTTGTTATTGTTTGTATTTCTTATTGTGATATATGTTATCTCCTTTGCACCTGTTTATATTTTTATACTAGAGCTTCTTTTACTTCATACCATAGACACTTTTTAATTATTGCCAGGTATGGCAACATTGATTAATAATGGAAGCTTGCGTCATGCGCTGTTCATTTGTTCAGTAGTTGGTCTCGGAAAATGGCGTCGGCAAAATTTTTAGAGGAGGCTCTGAATACGGACGTTGATGAATCAGCCGTGAGTGCTATTGTAGGTTCTTTAGAGAATCAACTCGGATCGTCGACACCACATTCACAATCACAGAATAGTGGATTGCAACAAAATCACGTAAATAGCCCGATTTCAAACGGCGGGACGGCGGCCCCGCAGAAACATGGGACCATTGCCAATGGTGACTCGATTAGTGCAAGTGTTTCTAATATTGACAAACAAATGAACAATGCATTTATAAATGCTCAGCCTACTATTACTTCGACATATACTTTACAGCAAACGGATCAAAAGCCACCTGAGGGTGTAAAAGTTGTGTATACACAAGGGGGACAGGTTATGGGAGGACAAGGAACTATTGTCCAGGGACGGGTTGCAACACCACAGGGTCAAATACCAAATGGGGCTATTGGAATGGCACCTCAAACGGTTTGTATTACTTTTTCTACTTTTTGGGGTACATTTAAACTCATGGAGAAAATATATAAATGGTTTTCTACTCTCTTTGCTAACTTTTGCCAATCTGAAATACTTCTATATTAACTTTTTATGTGAATAAACAACAAATATACATGTCACAAATATTGACATGCCAATGTTTTGGTTTGGTAATACAAACAACTAATTTTATGAAATAGGTATGTATAGTATACATACCTATAACCAGTCATTTTACCTATATTTTAAGCGGGTCCAGAGGAGATCATTTGTTTCAAGAATGCTGATATAACACGAAATAGTATATGTATAGGTCCTAATTCATTGAAATTTAGATTAAGTTATCTAGATTATTTTTTTTACTCTATTGGTAGAGGCTCTTGCATTAGTATATATTTCAAATTATTATACCTACTTTTCAAAATATTCATATCAAGTAATTTACTAAGCAGCACCTTTGAAACAGTAATCAAACAGTATATACATATTTACTTAACCTCAAATATAAGGCTTACATTTCAAAAATATGCTAGTTCAGCTATTTTATTAAATTTCATGATCTTTCACTTATAATTTAATTGAAGTGATAATAATTGTTCAACAGAAACATACTTTGATATAAATTTGAATTAATAGGGTCATAGGATTTAAAACTTTGAGGCAATCATAGTAGTCCTATGTTCTGCATTCAACTGTTTTAAATATATAAAATAATTGATAATTGTAATGTAGAACTAAGATAACTAGAAAAAACTATTTAATTAAAGCAATATATTGATTAAAATTACTTTCCGATATATATTTAATTATAGCGATATATTGCTAAAGTTACTTTTCTAAATTAAGGTGTTTGGTACAGTTCCTTCTACTGTTCACCAGGTTCAGCAGCTACAACAAAAACCGCCAACGATAGTATTAAAAACGACAGGAAACCCCAGCGGTGCTCCGGGATTGGTCACTGTGCCTGTGAATGCAGTTCCCCAATCAAATAATGTATGTATTAACTATTTTATTTTGTTAAGAGGTAAGGGCTATATTGTGTAAAATATACAGGTAAAAAACAAAATATAAAAACATTGTTTATGAAGTTGATACTTAATTAGTATATTGGTCTTTCATCATGTGTGAATGATTGAGATATCGTTAAGAAAAAATTGTTACTAATTAAATTGTTAATTCTCTGCAGTTGTAGTACCATATTATAGAAAAAAAACGGTGTCAAAGACGGCTGGGGAATGACATTCAATGATAATTTTGGCGAGATCAATGTCTAGACATCATTTACTAAAAATTAAAATAAAAATTAAAAAAGTCTAAAATTTACACTATTTATAGAAAGATTAAAAAGGATAGAACGTTTCCAGATACAGAAATCTATTTCCAAAAAAAAATTTTTGGAGTTTTAAACTATACCTACCATTTATAAATAATTTTTTATCAATATAAAAATAAATTACAACCTTAAGGCCATCTGGCATTAAGCGCTAGTAACTGAGATCTAGGGCTTGAGTTTGCCAAAATTATCGATTGTCATTCCCCAGCCATCTTTAACGTCGTTTTTTTTATTGTATGGTATTTCCTTCTTGGTTAATACAACTTAAGGGTGAGTTTACATGTTAGAATAATCTGTAATCTATTTCACATAATTCAATAATTTTGAAATAGAGTACTTAAATTCATTATTTCATAAAAATTTACACACCCCCGTCTTGGCAGCAAAAAGATATAACTTAAAAAACTAACTATATTTGTACAAATATAACTAAACAAATATGGATGATTGGTTGCATATACTACTAACATAAATGCATTAAGGTTTAAGTTGGCCACATACATGCGGAATTGTGAAGCAGAAAAAATTGAACAAAATACAATAACGTCTGCATTTATGTGGCCAGTCTTAAAATGTAATATACAGTATGATCGAGAAAAATCTGCGTCTGCGATGGTTTAGGTAAAATTATAGGCGATATATAATTGATATTAATTTCCAAGCCAACTGGACACCGTTTTTTTTCTCAATCATATGGTATAAAGAATGCATATTATGCATGATTTAACAAACATGCTCTTGACATGAAATTGCTTTCAGACATTATCTCATTAATCAAAATATCTTAATGGTTCAATAATACCGGAATCAACATTTACTTGTGTTTCCTTAAAATATTTCTTTTTATGTTACAATTTAAGAAATACCTTATAATAACAAAAAAAGGCGTCGGAGTTGGTTTTGAAGTGATGATCGATGACATTTTATAAATATGTACAAATATATGGTGAATGTCATGATCGTCAATTCAAAATCAACATAGACGCCTTTTTTTTCAGTTGTATGGTATATTTTATGTAAGTCAAAAACATAATCTGGCCAAAATCTAATTAAAAAGATGTTCAAATATTTATCTTTCTAATGTTTCTGTTACTATAATTCCAATTTGTTTTTGTTAATGTAAGAAACAATACAGGGTGGCGCCTCCCATACGACGCGGAGGCTCTAAGGAGAACGGTAGTTTATATTGAAATGAAATTTTGCGTGCATATGTAGGTTAATTGAGAGCATTTTATAGAAATATATACAGTTCCACAGGATATCCCCAAAAAAAGTTACACATCAAAGTTGTGATTTTTGTAACGGAAAACCCTATATATAAATTGATTTTGATTCTGGGAAAATAATAAAGGTGAGTTTCATTAAAGAATATTACTAGAACGTAAGATTTTTTATAATATTTCAGATTTTGTCAAAATGAAGAATAAACAGCTACCTACCTATATTTATTAAGACATGAATACTGGGAATAATATACTGGGTGTTCCATTTAATATAAAAGAGTAACTTGCTTTTAAAAGTGACCAATGTTCAATATTAATTTTGTCTCACCCTGTATAACTTTTTGGGGTCAAATTTTAATTTAGTTTAACATACCTACAATGGTTATTTTAATTAAATATCAGGCTATACAGGGTAAATTATAGTTTAGGTATGTAGCTGTTATTGAAATTCAAAGTTTATTCTTCATTTTCACAAAATGTGCGATTATTAAAACCCAACATTTTAGTCATATACCTACTTCTTTAATCTCACTTTTATTTTTTTTTTCCTAAAATTCGAAAATCAATTAATATAAATGTTGACAAAAAACAACTTTGATGCTTAGCTTTTTTAAAATACTTTCAATTAATATACATATGCTCCTAAAATTTAATTTCAATATAAACTACCGGTTTCCTTGGAGCCTCCGCATCATACGAGAGGCGCCACCCTGTACTATAATTTTTACCAAGTATACTAACCACTCGTTCTTTAACTTCACTTTTATTTCTTTTATGACTCATTGATTCAAGCAGGGCACACAAGGCAATCATACATTAGGTGTGTCATCCCAACCAATCCTTTCCAATCTGCCAGTGGTGAATGTGCGTCCGCAAGGGGCACAAGCTAAAGGTCCCGCAAGGGTGGTCTTAAGTACGGGCCCGGGTCTTGTGGGATCCCGGCCTGGGACACCTGTAAGTTGTAGTTTGAAGCAAAAATCAAAATATATAAATGGGAAGGTTTTCTTTATTCGCTGCGTCTAGGTACACTAAATATAAAACTTCGGTGCACGCGAAATTTTACAGTTTTATGACGTGAATTTTTTACGCGTACCAAGTTAGAAGTGCCTAAATAGTAATTATAATAACGTTTATTAAGTTAATATATCTGATATTTGATTATATTTTGTAGGTATAGTACAGTCAATCTGGCATCAAATTACCCCCGCTCTCATACTTTGTCAGTCATAAGTCGTCCACTGGAAAAACTTAAATTCCAAAGACTAAGACACCAGACTAATAAGACTTTGGCACATTCTGCACAATCTTTAATTCATAAAAATCTTATGGGTATTTGAGGAAAATTTATATTATTAACAATTATGAGTAAACTCTTACTTGAGTATCGATTCTAGGTAAAAACTGCGTAAAACCTTCCCATTTAAAAGTACTGATTCTAGGACAAACGCTAAACCGTTAATGCTTGAGTTGTTTGTTGTATTATTTTTTGTTTGTAAATTTATCCATGCGTTTCTAGAATCTTATTTTTTTGGAATAAAATTAGTAGTAAACTGAAAGGTTGATCGTATAGGTATATTGGGTTGCTTTATTTGCAGCTGGTAGTCATTAATGGTTCGCTTAATGCATTTTTATTGAATTATTTGTATTTGTTGAAGTTGAAATATTTTTTTAGATGTATATTTACTGTATTTTGTTTACATGTAAACGTCGCAATAACATTAAGAGTCAATAGTTTGAATGCGATATTAAAATAAAATGTAACCTCTGTAAATGTTTTTAAATTTAAAAACTTCCTTATTAATATTAGGAATATTTGAATAATTTTCTACTTCGTTATTTCATAATAATTTCTAATAAATTTTTATTTTTTAGTTTTCTAAATCATATAAATTATGCAAAATATACATTGGCTTACCAGAATTAATACCATATTTTATTTCACATTTCTATTTCAAGGGTTGTTTTATCAATTTGGTATTATTTCGGCAAAAAAGGTTTATATACTGCTTCTACTAACTTCCTACTAAATGTCCTCTGTTACTAACACGCAATGTATTAACAAGACAAATTAGAAAAAGAAATCTTGTATTAAAGGTAAGCTTAAGTTCAAAATATCCACCATTATGCCAAAAATTAATGTCGGTAAGTGTAATAAAAGTATAACACTGAAAAGTTCAGATTCAAATTTTTATTTTACTTAGTATAAAATACCGTGTGATCGAAAAAAAACGGCGTCGAAAACGGCTGGGGAATGACAATAGATGCTCTCTGATAATGCGTTATTACTAAAAATTGGCATAGAACTTGTCAAAAATTAACACTAATTATAGAAAGATTAAAAAAGGATAGAACGTTTCTAGACACACGAATCTATTTCCAAAATTATTTTTTCTTGAATTTTAAACTACAGTGTTTAAAAATTATTAATATTAACTCAATGCAAAAATAAATCTTGCCAAAAGGCCAACTGGCAGTAAGCGCCAGTTAAAAATGATGAAGAGTACTGGCTAAGTAAATGACGTCTAGGACTTGACGGCTTCTATTGCCGTTCCCCAGCCGGCTTTGACGCCGTTTTTTTCGATCGTATGGTATATAATGACCCTTTGATTAATTTTAGGAGTGAATGGAATTTTATATTATCTGTAGAGCAATATGTTTCATATTTTTATAAATAGGTTTATTTTATAGATTGCTTTTCATGTAGCTTAAGTGCAAAAACTAGTTTTGTTTTTAATATTTAACAGAGTTCTTGGAGTTCATACATATTATTTCCTAGCAGGAAACAAATTTGGTGCATAATGTGGATTTTTACCTGATACCAGACAGTTTTTATAATTTTTAAATGACACCACCGACATTCTTTTACTCTTTTTAGTAGAAAATGACATTCTGAATAGAATGACATCTCATATGTCAATTTTTGTCATTTTGGCTTAAAAAATAGTATTTTAAATTTCAATCTAGAATTTAATGACGGTGTTCATAAGGAACTTTGACTCTAAATAGCAAGTATGTTGTACCAAACTATTCATAAAAAATGTGCTTTTTCCAAATATGCTAATGATCCACCCCTGTTCCATTTAAAAAAATAGGGTTATGATTAAAAATACAATTTGGGTATCTTCTAACTAGCCAGTAGATGATCAGACCTATTTTTTAAAGATTCCTTGATTAAACATTAGTGGTTTTATCACAGCCATGGCGCTCTAGATGGAAATTTAAAATACTATTTTTTTTAAGATGTCAACAGTTGACATATACGTCTATTCAGAATGTAAATTTCTATCAAATAAAGTAAAAATATACCGAGGATACAATTTAAAGATCAAAAGTTGTAGTCATTTCCAGTAAAATAGGAAGTGTCTAAAACTAATTGGACATATTAATCAACCCAAATTTATGTCACATACATTCATACCAAATCTCGTATTTAATCTAAAAAAAAACTGAAATTCTTTTGAAAAACACCCAGTTTAACTGTACATCAAGATTTTTTGAAGAATCATTAATCAATGTTCATTTCCAACCCAACTGGACGCCGTTTTTTTCTAAAATCAGGGCATATCGTTATTTAAGCAGAAAACTAAACAATGTTTTATTTTTATCAATACTATTCGTGCATAAAGAGGATTATTGTATAAAAATATATATTTATGTTAATTTTAACATGTCATGTTTCCAATCTAATTGGCATAAGTTTTCATTTCTTGTATTTATTAGGTAGCACTCATTAGGTTGATACATATGAAAAAATACTAAGAACTTTATTAAAAATTAAAATTCTAATTGCCATTGCATTATTCGTCTGTATGTCTAACAGTGTCTATTGTCTCTCTGGGTGTTTTAGCAACTAACCTTACAGTCATTTCACGGTTTACAACCTGGTCAACAGGGAGCGCTGCTCTTAAAGACGGACACTGGTTATCAACTGCTTCGTGTGGGTCCGGCTCCTCAGGCAGCTAATTTGGCATCGTCGCAACCGGGAGGACAGCCTGTAACGTTTCGCATGCCAACTGTAGCAGCGGTGAGTATATTTTTTCACTTTTGTTAATAAAAGTTAATTTAGAGAACATTATACTGTTTTCTTTGAGCAAAATAGAGATGAGACCCAAAGCAGAATATATTCCCATTTTATTGCATGTAGTAAATCATAAATTACAGAAAAATATATTAAGAACCCATGAGAGTATGGGTAATTGTGATCAAGTGGGCTATGATGGCACTTGAGTCCGTCTAACACTTGTCCGTTTTTTTTTAAATAGTAGCTCTCAACAGTTTTTTAGAGTCAAGACAGATATTTGCTCCTCTTTTCTTTATTTTTTAGGAGTAATAATTTTGTAAACTTGCAAGTTTGTTTTAAGTTTCATTTGCCGTCGCCTTGATTTTTCACCTTGGCCTACAAAAAACTAATTTTAATTTCTATAAAAATCAACTTTAATTCAACTTAATTCCAATAACTTTTGCCAACTTAATACTTATTTACTTAAGTGTCTAAGGGTATGTCTCTAATGACTTACGTCTCTATCGGTAGCTAGTGTTCTCTCCACAATTAATGTTGATTTGGTTAATTAAAACTACGTAGTCAAGATTAATAAATTAATAATTGATTGATTAAGGATAATTTTATCTTTTTTATTTATATAGCAGTCTGTGTCAAGTGCATCTACCAATCCAGCACAAGCTGGCAGTACAACTACAGTGACTACAACTCAACCAGTGGTTCAGCAAACTCAAGCTGTTCAGGTAAATCCAACTCTCGTTTTTGGTATTAGATATCACAATACTATAATAACACTATTGTTACATGTGTTACACCATGAATATGTGCATGATCTTTTAAAATTTTAAAACTACATGAATAACATGATTTTTGTTCCAACATAGCAGAGAACCGTTGTACGGTTATGCTTATGCGCAGTAGAGAAGCTTTGTTACATCCACAAGAGATTTGTTTAGCTAACAATAACTGTTGTGTTGCATTCAGAATTATTATCATTCATGAAAAATGTTTGGAATGGTGATTTCGGTACCAGCCTAAAAGCAACAATCAAAAGAACTGACCTGCATTGTGTATCAGCGATAATTGTTTTTGTTTTATTTCTTTGGCTATTTTAAATAAATAGTTTTGTATTAAATATGATGAGTGACGAAGAGGACAGTGATATTGAATATGTGGATACCACAGAAGATAAATGCAAGAGTCCATAAATAAATCCAATAAAATACAAAATTCGAAATTTGTTATTTATTGGGACTGTATAAGCACTGTATTGGCACTGTCCCTAATAATTTGTTTAACTAATTATTTCAATATGTATTCGTATATTGTACTCAGCATACTTTTTCTGCTTGGCTAGTTTGTTAGTAACCATTTATTTTATTGATTCGCTTACAATTGCAGAGACCAGCAAACGACAATACCAAAGAAAAATGTCGCAAGTTTCTTGCAAACCTTCTAGAACTGTCCAGCCGAGAACCAAAGGCTGTAGAACGGAACGTGCGAACTTTAATACAAGAACTAATAGACAACAAAGTAGAACCTGATGCCTTTTGTGATAAATTGGAAAGATTATTAAATGCAAGCCCACAGCCATGTCTCATTGGATTTTTGAAGGTTTGTATTGTTTATTTTACACTTATACCTATATTTTGTTTGTTCTAATTATTTTTTTTTATAATTTTGCAACTTTTAATGAGGCTTTTTTGTCAATATTTAATGTCATAGCCTTAATAAAAACTATTTATTTACATATCAATTTTTTATCATATTTCTTTTTACTTTAGAAAAGTCTCCCTCTTCTGCGGCATTCTCTCGCCACGAACGAGATGACGATAGATGGCATCAGACCTCCTCCTCCCAACGTCGTCTTTTCCATAGCAGGTGCCACTCCCACTGTGCAGACGGTACGACCGGCCGCCCAAGTGGCACCTGGTCAAGTGCGGATAGTCGGCCCGGGTACGGCCGTGGTAAGGTCCGCCGCTCCTGGGGCGGTGTTGCAACAGAGGTTGGTGGCTCCAATTAGAGGACCGACAGTGCAACAACAACCGACTAGGATGGTAAGTACTGGTGAGAAAGTCTAGCGTTTTATGTAGATGTACAAAGTATCCCATTTTCGTGTGTTTTGCTGGGTTTACTCTGTATATTCGGGAATACCCTGTATATTTTTTTATTTGTTTTGTTTTGTTATGAGCTTTCTAAAAAGATACCATATGATCGAGAAAAAACGGCGTCAGCGATGGCTATGGAATGAAGATCGCTGTCATTTTATATGTAAATTTATATGGGAAATGTCATTGATGGTCATTTCCCAGCCAACTGGACGCCGTTTTTTTTCGATCATATGGTAGTATATTCTGTATTTATTTTCATAAATAAGGTAAAAAAGGTATTATTTAACCTAACCTAACATAAGCGGCCAGTTTAAATTAGGTAGTCAAAACAATCAAATAATTTATTAGACGTCAAATTTTGGTTATTAATTATTCCAATTTTGCTTCCGTGTGTAGAATTATTGCACAAGTGCATCAAGAATATCAATATCTCTGATTGATAAGGTGTTAGCTAAAAGCTGCAAGTTGATTTTTGGTGCAGTTTATTAAGAAAACATGATGGGAAAGCAAAACTGTCTGGTTAAATTAAATAATACTCTTTTAAACTAGGTTGATTTATGTTAAAAAGTTAAATAGCGCATTTTTTCCTTATTTATGAAAATAAGTATTAGAGTATATTATATTGTTACGTTTTTCGTCGGTTCCGTGTGAAAGTGACAATTTATTTAAACACAATTTATTTACACTAAGTAACAAACAATAACGATTAAAAAGACTTAAAGAACTATATACAAACCATTTTTAACTGTTTATCTAGAAATAATTTATTTTGAATTTAGTGCGACAACTGTACTCGTCTATTTATTTCTGTCCTCTTCAGGCCCAGCCGTCGGTTTATATACCCACAGCTAAAGAGTTCTCGAATAATCCGTAGCCGCCGAGATTTTTCCATTCGTCCTTGAACGGCGCCAGGCGTATTAGGCCCGCCGCAAATTGAACCCAGCCCACGCACAGCATACGCCCAACCCATTCTTGATTCCACGCACACGTTTTTCTTAGCACCGCATATTGAACACAGCCCAGACCCAAGTTTTTAGTTTCGATCATGAGTGAATACGAGCAACTTCTTGATTTAGAATCAGAATCCGAGAACGAAGAAGGACTTATTTTACTTCATTTGCTTAATAAATAGAGAAAAAATGTAAAAAACGCATATTTGCGAAAAGAGCAAGCAAAGGAGAGTTTAGATTGTCTAGCGAAGTTCCAGACATTCTGTTTAAAGAGTCTTTTCGATTAAACAGGAGACAATTTTTTGAAGTGTATGAACTAATAAAAACAGACATTACCGGTTAGGAATGCAACGCCCGAAAGCCTATTGGCAGTGAAGAAAAACTAGCAGTTTGTCGCAAAAGTAGAAGGGGAAGGAACCCACGAAAACTGTGTCTGAACGCAACTAGATCCACGAAAAGACTGTGCTAGGCGTAGAGTATATTTAATTTGCGGTGGTCCCTTCTTTCCTGTGTTTTACAAAATTCTCCACGCATGGGTTGGGCGTGTGCTGTGAGTGGGCTGGGTTCAATTTGCGGCGGGCCTTAGTCAGCTTAGACCGGGTTCACACGGGTCCGCAACAATATTTTTAGAAAGTTCATAATAAGACAAATAATATAAAAAAATAATAAAATGTAGTGTGCCCAATTTAAAAACAGATACTTTATTAAGAAGTGTATTTTTCTTTCAACTTTTTATGCAAAGTTTTAGTTTAATTTAGTTTTAGCAGTCATTCTATAGTATAGGCAAAATAATTTTAGGTTACAGCGATTAGACAACCAGGACCAACAGTACAACAAGTCACCGCGCAAACTATCAGTTCGTCTCAACCTCCCGCCCTCCATCCGGTGTTCTCCGCTAATCAAGCGCAACAACAGTCGCAACATACGACCCAACAACAGCCAAACCAGCCCAGACCCACGGTACCGAGACCGGTGCAGGTACGGCCCGCGGGTCAGGGTCGGCCTCCTCCTCAGAGATTGCAGACCCCCTCCGGTGGAAAAGTTGCCGCCGTAGGGGGTAAAGCTTTGGCTGGACAAGGAGCGAGCAGACCAACTGCCAAAGAGAAAGGTAACATTTATTGATTATTTAGAGTCAATATCTTATTTTTTTTTCGGTATTGTCTTCGATTGTTATTTTTGTATTTCCTTTTACAAAGCATATGAAATAGTTTCAAAAATTCAGTTTTAAGTTGTTAGGTTAGGTCAGTTCTACATACATTGCAGGTAGCAAATTTATACGACGTTATCCGTTGCGTATCTGAGTGACAACATTTTACAACCTACATCGACAATGGTTTGAAATAAACTAAATCAAGCGAATCGCTCGTCGCTTGCTACTTGCCATTTATCACCGAAAGAATATGTGCTCTGGGCACGCAACTTAGTGCTTGGCGTTACGCCTACAACAAGCGACGGGCGAAAAACTGTATTTTTAAATACGAGCGATATTTCGCTCGAGCAATCGCTCGATTATTGAAATCGCTTGAAACTCGAGTACTCGATTATTGAATTTAATCGGTTTTTCCCATCACTAGTATGGACTTTCTGATTAATAACAGGGTATGGCAGTCGCATAGCACATTTTAAGCCATCTTTTTGTCCTATATATTGCCTGCAGAGGGGTATCTATTGAGTAGGGTCACAAATTAACTTTTACAGATATGACTAACTGATAATAGATGGCGATACCGTAGATCGGATGCATTGAATGAAATGTTCGACCAAACATATAATGGACGATAACGTTAAGTCGTCCCAGCATCCTCACTAACAATATTTCTTTTTAGCTTTTGATACGCCGAGCCGGCAAAATTATCTACTTTTTTTTCTACTTTTTAATTATCGACTTTTTTTCAGAAAAGAAAGGTTTTTCGACGGCCTACTCTGGAGATGACGACATTAATGACGTAGCAGCAATGGGCGGTGTAAATTTGGCAGAAGAAACTCAGAAAATTTTAGGACCTACAGAATATGTGGGAACGCAAATTCGCTCCTGTAAAGAAGATATTATGTGTTCATCAGCACCCTTCCAATATAAGGTATTTTGCAAATACTATATTCTGTTATAGTATTTGAAGTGTCCAGGGGAAAGCTTGATAAGCGCCAGTCTCTTAATTTTAGGGTTACAATATTATAGAAGATCTAACTGGCCTTACAAATTGTATAAACTCTGCAGGGCATGTTTTTTCCCTGGACTTCATTTTTTAGTAACATATATTATGTACTATTATTTCTTACTGAATTAATATGAGCTTATATCATCTTGGTTACGCTAACCATAAATAGACTCATAACTCTCTTGGCACATTGGGTCTTATGAACAAAAGTTAAGCAAATGCTTTTACTTAAATTTCTTGAAATAGACTTATACAATTTGTAAACAACCAACAGAGATACTTCTATAGAAAAAGCAATTGCTTCTCTTTATTCATCAGGTCCATTATTAACGGGAATTAAGATGCCATCATTCCCTCTACCTTGTATAGGTAACAGCTATGAAATGCAATAGAGATTTTTAGTAATATAAAATGAAAAGGCATGCTAACTCCATTTTTAAGTTTAATTGTTAAATGGAAAGATACGCAACCTAATGGGCGAATTCGTGACAAGGCTGATTTGATTTCCCTTTATGTCTCAAGTGCTGTACGGTGGAGCCTCTGCGACCAACGCATAAAACAGTCATTTTCTCTAATTCGGCTAGCGAAGGCATATCGAAGACCGTGTGGAACTGAAAGCGACAGTGTTGCCATATTAAAATGTGTAATATCTGTAATACGTTAGCCGAAAATATCTTTGGATGAAAAATCCTCCTTTATGTATTGAAAATTTATTCATGTTAAATATAGAATCCAATTATTCATGTTAAATATAGAAATATCCGGGTATCGACGGCCAATACTGTTTTGCCCTTTTTAAGGTTTTACCAGTGTCTCTTTTCTCGCGTAAAATTAGTAATAAACTTTGTGATGAGAACTTGTTCATTCTCGCTAAATCGGCAACGCATTTTAAAATAATAAAAAAGTTAAATTTAAAATCAAAAAGTTAATATTAAAAATTGTTTGAGATCTCAATCAAATTTTAATATTGACTTTGATCGATGTAATTGTAACCCCAGAGAATAGGTACATTAAAGAAATGCTAACTTCATGTTAAAAAATGGAAACAGACGCCACCTGGTGTCGCCTGGCAGTACTAGCTAAATTGAGGGGAATTGGAGGGGCGGGGCTTAAAAGAGGGGAAATTTAAAAAAAAATATTTTTATAAGTATCACTGACTTACTGTTTAAAGTTAATAAACATATTTTTATTACTTTAATATAATTTAATGTATTAAAAAAATATGTCTATTAACTTTACAAAGCAAATCAATGATATTATTAAAGACTTACTATTTTCAGAGAAAATTCATAGTAAATAAATTACACATTAGTAAACAATATCATTTACTTTTTTAGAACTGCGATTTATATTACATAATATTGAAATATATATATTTTTTAACAATGAAAAAGAATATCCCGGAACCTGAAAAAGAAAGATGATCAATTAATGACTTAAATTAGTTCAAAATACATTTTGCAAATAACTAGTGAATTGGACAGATAAACATACTATTAAAAAGACATTTTAGTAGTATATTATCATCTATTTACTGATAATACATAAGTATATAATAGGTAAATAACATGCATAAGGCACTATGATACAACTACCTGTATCATGATAACACACTAACATCACAAAAAATATATGCTAATTTAAATTTCTTTAATGGTCTAATGAAACACTATCTAGCCTCAATGCATGCCATTCCAAAGGCAAAAAAAACTGTTATACCAAATAAATATAAGCTGAATAAAACATAAACCAAGCCAATGTGCATAAACAACCAAAAAATGCATCAAAAAATACTTTTATCAGATCATGCCCTTGGATATATTATGTATTTTATATATCGCACATCCCGTTCAAAAGTTTACTAACTCAAAATAGAGAATATAGAGAACATTGTCAGGAGAAGTAAAAGAAAATTTAAGTTAACGCAATATGCTCCTTTTTGCATATTAATGGCCAAATAATGTAATGTTGATTTAATAAAAATTTAACTGGCATCCTTCTGAGGTATAAATCAGATTAAAAGGACATTGTTTTTGTAATAATTGTTTGTTCTGTAAACATTTTTTGAAGACAATACAGTTTTGAACGGGCTGTGCGATATAAACAAGGATCTTACTATTATTTGAGGTTATAAAGTATTTAAATAATATAAAACATAATCAAAATCATTTTTCATCATAAATTATAGAGGTACTTACGTGTTTTGATATTATTATCAGGAAATAATACGTTTAATTAAACAGGTACGCTGCCAGGCAAGTTCTATCGGCGGGTCTTTGCAAAGTTGAAATCTAAAAATACAAAAATACGTTTACATCTTAGTTGTATTTACGAATAAAGTATTTGTGTGTAATTTCTGACTTACCAGTTAACTGAATAATCGCATTAAATACATCCAAATGGTAATTTAATATTGTAAAAAAGCAAAATTGTTTTAAATCACTTGCCAGGACAGCCCGGCCAGCTTCTTTGTTGGGAAAATGGCCGCGGTATCATGATTTAAGCAATGTGAGTGACAAAGAAAGCTAATGCCTGGCAGATGTCGCTTTCTTTGTCGTTGGTCCTGGCACGTTTAAATTTGACTGTTGCCTGTTTTCCCATACAAGTGACATCCCCGTGTGTAACCCGAAATCAAATGACAATGATAATTACTAAAAACAATGTGCAGTAATTAATAAAATGCCGTAATGACTCGGCACCAACTCGGCACCCACGAAGCAATAACTTCACTAATCAGTTTCATCTGATTGTCAAGTGAAAGAGAGGGTTTGACCATAGATAAATGAAACAAGTTTAGATTGGAAAGTGTCCATAAGGACAATGTAAACACTATTTGGGGCTATTCTTGCAACGGTCGCGACCCAAAGCTTTTGATCATTTCGGATCGGTTCGGCTTTTTCCGGAATTATGTCGCCAAATATTGTTTGTTCAAATTTATTATTATTTTCTTTTAATTTTATAAATAAAATACAATGTGTTGCATACAAAAAACTTTATTTTATATAAGGACATGTATGTGAAAGACCTATGAAACATTGGAAACCGATATTATGCCACGATTCACGATGATTTTTACAGTTCACAGTTCACAATACAGTTTTTTAGTTTTTAATTCTACTTTTTCACAATTATCACGGGTTTGAGTAAGTAAAATTTAAATTAAACTCACAAGATAACAATAATTACTTTGAGAATGGACGCTTTTAACACTTTTCGGTATTTTTTCAATGAGGGCAGTTTACATTTTGAAAGATTTTATAATTTTTGAAAATTCTGACTTTGACAAGAGATAATTATTTCTGTTATTGTTTGCGATTGTTCTTAGCAACCGCTATAGCAGCGCCAGATCGCGTACAACCATACGTACAACGGTCGCGACACCAAAGACACAAAAGAATATATATTTTGACAGACTTTCCAGTCTAAATTTATTTCCTTTATCTATGGTGTTTGGCAGTATATTTTGACGTGACGTTAAACGATGGTTGAACAAACAATAAATGGTGAAGTTGTTTAACAGTTGTTGTAATTTCAGATTAGGCAAGTCATGCAAAGGCACGGATTAGACGATCCGAGTACGGGTGATGTTGCGGCGTGTATATCGCATGCTGCGCAAGAGAGACTGCGGGATATGGTAGAAAAATTGGCTGTTATTACTGAACATAGATTAGAAATAGTTAAAAGCGATTTTCGCTATGAAGTTACGCATAATATTAAAGGTAATATATCCTTATATTTTTATAGTATAAATGTTAGCATAGCCTGCACAACGAGCGAATATAATGACGATAACAGTTGTGTTATTTTAATTGAAATGGAAATTGTTTCCTTAACACAATTATTATATATCTTCCGTCAAAATTATAAGTCTTGTCACTTTTTAATTAGGCTTTAACATTAATTTTCTGATAAAAACCATAAATTTTAGAAATTAGAACATATTTATTAATAATTATTTTATCTATAGCATCTTTGTCATAGTTTTATTTTACTTACAGAAAATTTTAAAATCATTTTATTTTCAGATTAATTATACTGCTTATTCTCTTCGCTTATAAAAGTAATGCTGAATAATATGAAACAATGTGACAATACATTTTTTAAGTAAAAATCCCACTATTACATTACAATAACGAGGCATGAAAAGCTGGATTTATTTGAAATAAATCTAGCTATAAAAACATTCGCTAAATTTGAAATAAAAATGTATCTATTACTGAAATTAATAGATAATCTATTAGCAATAAAATTAAATATATTTTGTGTATTTTAGGACAGTTAAAGTTTCTCGAAGATGTAGATAAGGCAGTGAGGAAAAGAAAAGAAGAATTAGAGCGAGAACAGATGCTTAGGGCTGCAAAAAGTCGTTCAAAAACTGAAGATCCTGAACAAGCTAAATTAAAAGGTAAACATATGCTTTGATATCAAGCTAAATTCACAGAACCTCATGTGATAATATTGTTTTGAACTAGACAAGATTTGGAATTAATTTTAATTAAGTTAAAAAACTGTTTCTGAATAATGCTATGTGAAATATCAAGCTAAATTTACAGAACCTCATGTGATCTTGATTTGAACTAGTTAAGATTTAGAATTAAGTTAAAATATGTTTTAATAGCCAAAGCGAAAGAAATGCAGCGAGTTGAGATGGAAGAATTAAGACAGAAGGAAGCCAATGCCACGGCATTGCAGGCTATTGGCCCCAGGAAAAAACCTAAATTGGAGGGGGAAAATAGTGCAGGATTACAGGTATGTTTTTATATGTATATAGTACTTCTATACAGTGACACAGATAAAGTCCGCATCATATGGAACTTTTTTTTATTTATTGACTTATGTAGGTGAAATTTGCCCTGGGCGATAGTTTCTGCTTTTAGTCTAAGAGCTAGCAACGTTTTCGAGAAAGTATTTTAAGACGTCTGGCTCTTTGATATATCTTTTACTATACTCCCTGGAACAGCACGGGGCCGGTCTGGCTGCCGACACCCGTTGCGTTCACTACTGCGCATCGGAAGAAGATCCTATATTTTTTATTAATTTAGTCCTATTAATTCTAGTATTGAATATAAATCGAACATGTCTCTATAGCGCAGTGCGTAAAGTTTCCGACCACGAACCGGTGATTCAGAGTTCGAATCCGGGTCACAAAGACTTTTTTATTTTATTTTCGTTTATATTCTGATAGTAAAGTATTAAATAATTCTGGTAATTAAAAAAAAATATTGTCTAACGACGCACTATTGCCAGACCCTGTATAGCCAATTCTTGGGATAGAAACAAAAAAAACTGATAACAACAGGCAAAAATTTTTGTCATTTTTAATCTAAATCAAAGCAGAAACTATCACCGAAGTCAAATTTCACCTAAGTCAATAAATAAAAAAAACACTGTTTGTAAAAGGTTTTATTTTGTGCAGCAGTTTTTTAATACAAAATTTTTATAATTTACAGAATAGTACATCCGGTCCAAACAATACGCTCAGAGGGCAGATGCCTCTTAGGCAGCGAATTAAAAAAGTGACTATGAGAGACTTACACTTTCTGTTTGAATCAGAAAAAGACTCGTGCAGAAGTAAACTGTTATATAAGTCGTATCTTAAGTGATGCTGGCTTCTACACAGTGTTGTGATATTACTCTTGGGACCTTATAGTCCTATCAAAATTTGGATGTAGCTTTAAAAATAGGAAATATCTAAAGCGAATTCTGTTTTGGTGTCAAATTTAGCCAACATCTGATTATTTTTCTATACTATAAACTCCCTTTTAGATTTTTTCTGTTACAAATTAAACTGAACTATTTTATCTTCATATCAGCTAAGAAACATACCATACTTTATGATAGTAAATTTATTTATACTTTGGAAAAATAAAGCTAGAATGGCAGTCCCAATTTATTAGTATAAAGGTCTTGAAATACTCACTTATACATATTTTACAAATATTCGATATTGTAGATACATGTTTGATAAACGGATGTAACGCTGTTTCGGGTAGTAAAAAATAAGTGAAAAAGAATTCGAACTAGTCGTCGTGTTGTGTTGTGACAATTTCAAATGTTAATAAAATTGCCGAAAAAATGCTAACGCGTAAAGGAGAGCGTAATTAGGACGTTGTTGGGTGCAATAACATTCAATAACTCAACTTTCTCGGATATTCAACTCCAAAACAACATTTTATAGGTTCATAGTTTCTCATACCGATTTGATTAAAAGCAAAAATAAATTCAAGATTCAAGCAGTTCGACGAAAGAAGTGAGTAAACAAAGTGCTCGTTATATAATCAAAAAATTAAATAGAGAGTTATTTAATTTAAAATTACTATGAGAGGATAAAATATAATTTACAATATTAATCACAGATATTAATGGTATACTTTTTTTTTAATCAACTAGTGATTAAATGTTCTATGAACATCTTCTAAAGTTATAATTATGTACCTTTAAAAAATTTCGTTATAGCCAAAATAGCCCCAATTATTCCCCACTAGCAAAACCGGTAATTAAAACTATGCTCGCTACCGTAGTTGAACTAATCTAAAAACTTTTTAACTGGAATAATAAATTATAATACAAGTTAGACCTTCTGAAGATATCAAAATATTTACTTTATTATTTATATTAGAATTTTTACAAATTATACTTCCTGACACTTTTAGAATAATTAAATAATAAATTTTTCGTATACTCGCTATTTAAACCTGTGTATTTGTATAGATCGATTGTTCACGATATTCTCGCATGGTGGCAGCACCGGCGGAGAATACACCAAGCCTATAAAAGTAATTATTAAAATTTGGAATCATATTTCAAAATTGTTTCTATCTTGAGGTTATGAAAATATAAATGATGATATAGGTACAGACAAATAAAGAATGAGCATCTGTCACAATTAGAGCTTTAGCAATAGACATTGAGTAAAACTTTCTTAGAGTAAAACTAAGTCCAGATTTATTTTAATGCCTATCGTATGACGTCAATTTAATGAGTATGGTATGTTTATGACATGGAAATAAACTCGGCGATACATATTTATTACAGTAATTATTCTTTATAATTTCTACAAATACAGGTATGACAGGTAAAATATTGAAGTGGTGATTAAAATTATTCGGTATGCAATAGTTTGTTCTAAAAAGTTATTTATGTTTATTTTTCGCAACTTTATTACTTTAAGAAATAAACTAAGGATTACTTTAGTTAAGTATTGCTAAATAATTATTTATCAATAGTTACTGCTAACATAGATTAGCATTACTACATTATTCTCTCGTTATAAGGGTTGGTTGGATTTGGTTTGAAGAAAAAAAATCAAAAATTCAGAATATATTGGTGATTTATAGTATAGAAAATATCTAAAGTCTGTTCAACGAGAGAATAGGTGATTTTGACAGACGAAATCAGAAATGACCTTTGAATTAAAATGGCGGACAACTCTCACTCAGAATTCTCTCATTGGACAGACTATACAGAATGGTCCGAATTGTATTCTGGACGCTTGGGCAGCATAGTCTGCAGATAAAAATAAGTAAAATTCGGATACACGTACGTCCTAAAAGGCTTAGTTTCTGAGATATAGGGTGTAGAAGTGCAAATGCTTTCTGAACTAAGGTTGATATTTGAAGAAATTTGATTTCTGTGTCAATATTACTCCTACTTGTAAGGGGCGCCACCTGCCTATCTTTTTGAACCGTTATTTTGAAGAGTAATAATTTTTCCGAGTGAAAAAATATACGCCGATTTTTATTTAAAAAAGTTTTCTTGGCAAAAAGCGCTATGAGTAATGGTTCTCAGGTTATTTGCATAATCAATACATTGACAAAAATTAAACATGTTTACTAGATTGTAAACTATCTGAAATAAAAAATCTTAATTTTTTTGTGTCAAAGGTTCAAGAGAAACTGTTTTATCATTTTTTTTTCTAGAAAACGCTATGATTATTTAAAAAAAAAATTGAAAAATCGAAATAAATATGCCGCCGAAAATTTCTGAATACAATTAGGACCACCCTGTATATCGGACTGGCTATGCATATGCGTATTTAATGCAAAATAAATTTGACACTTGTGGTGCTTCATCCCCAAAAAATAGATAAAATATGAAAAATGTGTTTTATTACTATTAGAATATTGAAATGGATAGGTGTAAATAAAACTTACGAAGACTAGTAAAAAAGTTTGTGGTCCAACTAATTTTAATTTAATTTTCAAAGATGCTAATTCGTAAGCTGAAATCATAAAAAGGTAATAATTTCATCGTTGTCATAATTTAGTTGGACAAGCATAGAAATATTTTTGTATATTTATCATCACCCCAAACATGTATATATAAATATAACATTACTTAACAATATACAGACCAGGCCATTCATAATCGGTTGTGTATATTTAACGTGTAAAATAGTGAGAGAGATACGTTAATATAAATTCGTGTGTAAAAATTTGTTAGAGAGAAAAAATGGGATGTTACAATATGATCGAAAAAAAAGACGGCGTCAGTAATCGTTATGATAAGGTTAAGATTGCTGTCATTTTATATGTAGATTTATATAGGGAATGTCATCGATGTTCATTTCCAAGCCAACTGAAGGCCGTTTTTTTTATCATACGGTATATTTGTTGTATGGCATTGCCGGTTCCATTAAAATGTTTAAACCGTTCAAAAAAACGTTCCAAATAGTAATGCACTATGAGCTTGGTCATTTTTCTACAATGCTAGTACCTTAAATATTTTACATTCTGTTGGGTGCACATGCTTAATTTATTTTTTATTGCTCCACGCAGTTTTGTAATCTTATAGACATATGTTTCACAAGCATTCTTTAATAAGCCGAAACATGTATAAAGATAAAGTTACTCTCCTTAAATTTTGATACATCTAAAAGCGGGTTTTATTAAAATACCAAAATTATATTTGTTTTGCACATTAAAATACAGACTACCGATTTAAAATGACCAGGCCAGTATACATTTTTAAAGTTGTTCAAATTGCAGAATATTTTTGTTTTGGTTATATGGCAAAATTGATTTTTTTTTCAAAATAACACAAGTTTTAAACGTTTTTTTTTTGGGACTATATTTATCTCAACATAAGGCGAGTTTGTTTCTGCAGTAAATTTTTCATAACCCGTGACGATATTTCATCCAGAAATTTAAAACTACCTATGAGGTGTTTTAGTGCATTTATAACAACGTGATAATAACTGCAGTTTATCTTGACAAACTTTTTCATTATTTCAGTTTAACTGCGTCAGCTGTTTAATGAAATCCACGATGTATAATCATATTTGTCAGTATTGTTGAATGTTTTGTTTAAATAAGCACACAATGAAATTGCCTTTAACCTACCAGCAGCCTTTGAAAATATAATTCAAGACAACCCAGTGCCTGGTTTAATAATGCTGTCGAACATACACGAAGTTGCATATTTTTTGACAGTTATATGCATAGAATAGATATTTTTATGCACTGATGTTATTAGTAGGAGGATAATGTTGGGTGTACCCCAGGAATAATTTACAAAGATTTTGTTACATGGGCATTATCCTAAAGTTGCGTACAGACGACCGCGAATGTATTGAGCACGCATGTTTATGTGTGGGCTCTCAACTCATATATGTTCACGCCATGCGAAGAAAAACATTGAAAAACGCATGCGTGCACTCTCAGACCGTCCCCATATTTTATTCAGCGTTCTATCTTTATCTAAGAACTACTTGTATATGGATATTATATGGAACTACTATGCAGAAGCATAGAAGTATAACTAAGAACAGAATACGGACCATTTTCAAGATTTTTTATGGAGTCTATTTTTTTAGTTTTTGAAAAATGAAATTTATATTTTGGATCCCACAATATTGGAAAATATTGGTCAATAGGGCCCAAACAATCTTCAGACTACTCCATATTAAATTCTTATATATCCGACTTCTTAAATAATATTTTTCTTCGCACATGCGATGTCCAAACTGAGCGCGAGCACACACATTTGTTTCTTTGATCTCTGAGAAAAAACCGACAGTACTGTGGCTCACGTCGTGCGCCCTCGGCATATTCGAGATCGATCACATCTCTGGTTTTGTTGTCAAGGTATTGCTAGGGCCTTGTTTACCAGGACTAATGACAGAGGGAGATAACAGTCCATATGTGGCCCTTAATAGGGAATATCTGTGGGCGTTATAGTTTATTTACATATTAGGAATCCTAGGCAATAATAATGAATTTAATAAAATAGAATAAATGTATTAAAAATACAATAAACTGACTAAAGTATTACATCATAGATATGCTAAAATACTATACAGGGAGAAACAAAAAATTTACTGTACAGATAAACTTGCCTCATCTTCAGTTGCGATGAAACAAAACAAAGCTACACGCAAATAAATCAGTTATATCGATTAAACCTTAATTTTGACGATTAGTGTAAATGCTAAAGAAAATAGGCAAGTATTATGCCTATTTAGCATAAACAGTATCAAATTAGCACGTCTTTATTATCAATTATGAAAATGGAATAATTTTTTCTGTATAGAAATTTACTAAAATATTAGAGTTTAGTAATAGTAAGTAAAATGTATATTTTAGTTTTGCAATTGAACAATAAAATTATATCTTTGGCTTGCAAATATTTTTCGTCGTTTTAGTATTCTGTTATGAATCCAAAAATGGTTCTTCCTTTATTTAATTTAATTTATGAAACACCTAGTCACATTGAAGGATATATTGCTTTTATTTACAAGCCAAAAATATAATTGAACAAAACTTGTTTGTACTCAATCGAGAAAAAATATTCTAAATCAATAATAATGTTTTGTATCAAAACAGTACGAATTTACATGTATAGTTTCTTAGAGCAATTATACCAAAATGCCTGTGAGGAATGTCAAAATTTTTTTTGGTTATTTTTTTTGTTGATTTGTTTTAATATTACACTTTGTAAAGATGGATGTCATTTTTATAATAAAACTATTGCACAGAATGGTTAAAAAAAATTGCGCGTTTTAAGGAATTTTAGTTTTACATAAATTTTTAATTTATTTTTCATTTACCTAACTTACTACAGTAAAGCAAGAGATTATCTGCTGCTTTTTCTTGATCTATAAATACCATTTACATGTACCTGAATTATCAAAACGTCATTGATTTTACCTCCCATTTTAAAATTTACTTTCTTCTAAATTTAATACCAATTGAATGTAGTTTTTTTATCAATTGACTGAGTTTTATTTTCATACATTTAAATAATTAATTCTTTGAGAAATATAAAATAAAAGAAACTTCATATGAATTTTTTATTAT